TAATCATCACGATTTTGACGCAAATATAATTCGTTACGGCGTTAAATATGAAGTACAACTATTTTTCACATTAAAAATAAAATAATTTTAAAATTAATTGAAAATAAAATCGTAACAGTTTGATGCCAACATGAATCGAAATTTCCCTAGTGTCAAAACAAAGCGAAAGTCATGTTAATTTTAGAAAACTGGATAAAGTTAACGAAAAATACTGCCCCCAACAACACGGACTTTTCACGATCTTTATTCACCCTTATTTTTTTATCAAATTACTCGTCAAGATTACAAAACTTGCTTCACATCACGACGATTTTAGTCTAATTTTTAATAATTGCGACGTTAAACAAAACGAAATAATTTTAAAATTTGTTGAGACATGATAAGTTTGTAGCCAACCTAAACCAAGATTCCCCCAGTGTGGAAAGTGGTGAGTTTTGACCACTAAAGTCACCAAAACTAGCTTCAAATTTAATTAATTATCACGGTTTTGACGTAAATATAATTCATTGCGGCGTTAGACATAAAAAACAACTATTTTTCATATTACAAATAAATTAATTTTAAAGTAAAATCGTAACAGTTTGATGCCAACCATAAATGAGATTCCCCTATTGTCAAAAGGAAGCGAAAAACATGTTAATTTTAAATACTGGATAAAATTAGCGAAAAATACCGCCCCCAACAACACGGACTTTTCACGGTTCTTATTCACCTTTATTTTTTTTATTAATTACTCGTCAAAATTGCAAAAATTACCAAAACTTGCTTCAATTTTAATACGATTTTAGCCTAATTTCATTAATTACAACTGCCATGAAATAAAACACATTAAAAACACACAATAATTTTAAAATTTGTTGAAAAATTTAAGAGTTTGTTGCCAACTTAAACCAAAATTTCCCCAGTGTTGAAAGTGGTGTCTTAACCACCAAAACTAGCTTCAAATTTAATTAATTATCACGAATGTGGCGTTAAACATGAAATACAACTTTGTTTCACATAAAAAACCCAAAATAATTTTAAAATTGGTTGCACATAAAAACAAACCGAAATTCCCCTAGTGTCAAAAGAGCGCGAAAGTCATGTCAACAGGTTAGTTTTAGTATTGGAAAATGGACGAAATTAACGAGAAATACCGCCCCCAGCGGGACCCCAAGTCGGCAAAAAAGCCCACGGACTTTTCACGGTACCAAACACCAAAATCCGACCATTATTAATTCTTTTTATTCTAGTGAAGAAACCTCGGAGGTGAGACTCCGCCAAGTGATCGAAAATGACACCATCGATGCGAAATACGGATTTGAGCGAGTCCGGGATAACTTAGAAAGGACCGGATTTTTATTAAACATGCATGCGGTGTGTGAATTCCTTTGGAATTGTTTCATTTACGTTTAAATAGAGCGAGATTTTAGATGAGGATAAGAGACTGGTGGCAGCTGTTGATTTCTATTTCATGGAAGAGGATGGGGCCCGTTTCAAAGTGTCGTATTGCTACATGCCGTATTTTTACATTCTAACACGACGGGAGCTAATCCAGGAAGTGACACAATTCCTCACAAAAAAATTCTCAGGCACAATTGGGAAAATCGAAGTTGTCACAAAAGAGGATTTGGATTTGGTAAAATCACAATTATCACCAAGAATGACTTTAATTTTTTACCTTTCAGCCAAATCATTTAATCGGTTTACAACAAAAATACATAAAATTGTCGTTTTTCAACCAAACTGATTTAATCAAAGTCAGGAAAGAGATTGTGAAAGTTGTGAAGAAGAACAAAGAGAGGGAAAGCGCAAAAACTTTTTATACTGAAATGTTGACGGACATTTTAGCCGATAAGGGGGCCCACACTACCAAGACAAAGACCGATCAAATGGAAAATATCCTAGATATTCGGTAAAAAACCCCAATGTTGTCACACAAAAACAAAAATGATTTTTTAGGGAATATGATGTTCCCTACCATGTGCGTGTCTCAATCGACTTGAAAATCTTCTGTGGGCTATGGTACACAGTTAAAGGCAAGGGGGCCACCACTGAGCCCCCTATCATCACCCAAAGACCCGATTTAATCGAGCGCCCTGAGCCCATAGTCCTCGCATTTGACATCGAAACAACCAAACTTCCCCTCAAATTCCCCGACGCACAAACCGACCAAATTATGATGATTTCGTACATGATTGACGGTCAAGGTTTTCTTATAACAAATCGTGAGATTCTCTCGTCGGACATTGAGGATTTTGAGTACACCCCAAAGCCGGAATTTGAGGGAAAATTCACGATTTTTAACGAAAAAAACGAAATGACTTTGATTCAGCGATTCTTCGATCATATAATGGACGTGCGCCCCCATGTTTTTGTCACTTACAACGGGGATTTTTTCGATTGGCCTTTTGTTGAGACTCGCGCCGCCACCTATGATCTCGATATGAGACAGGAGATTGGGTTTGGGAAGGACCGAAATGATGTTTATTCTTGTCGACCTGCCATTCACATGGATTGTTTGTGTTGGGTAAAACGGGATTCTTACTTACCGGTAGGGTCGCATAATTTGAAGGCGGTAGCTAAGGCGAAATTGAGGTGAGTGGGCGTGGTTTTAGTGGGCGGAGTTTTACCATTTTTTCCAGGTATGACCCCGTGGAGTTGGACCCTGAGGAGATGTGCCCCCTGGCAGTCTCCCAGCCTCAAGTCCTCTCGAATTACTCAGTTTCGGACGCTGTTGCCACTTATTATCTTTATATGCAATATGTGCACCCTTTTATTTTCGCCCTTTGTACGATTATCCCTTGTGAACCGGATGAAGTTTTACGAAAAGGCTCAGGAACACTTTGTGAGGCCCTTTTAATGGTTGAAGCCTTTCATTGTAATATAATCTTCCCGAATAAGGAGGAAACCGTCCTTAATAAATTGACAGATGATGGTCACGTGCTACACCAAGAAACTTACGTTGGTGGCCATGTGGAGGCGCTCGAATCGGGGGTTTTTCGTGCCGATTTACCTTGTCGTTTCCGGTTAGAAACCGACGCTTTGGATAAATTAATCGGACAAGTGCCTAAAACCCTCACACATGCGATTGAAATCGAAGAGGGCGTGCCCTTATCTGACGTCACGAATCTTGATGAAGTGACCAATGAAATTGTCGCAAAATTGACAGCTTTGAAGGAACAACCAATGAGATTGGAGCGTCCGTTGATCTATCATTTGGATGTGGGGGCTATGTATCCGAATATTATTTTAACCAATCGGTTACAACCGTGTGCAATCGTCGATGAGACAATCTGCGCCGCCTGTGATTTTAATAAACCGGGAGCGAGATGTCAACGAAATATGGCGTGGATGTGGAGGGCGGAGTTTAGTGAGTCGGTTGGAGAAAAAAAATTGTGTAAAACTCTCGTTTTGTGTTTTTAGTGCCAGCGTCGCGGAATGAGTACCACCGCATCCAGCAACAACTCGAGACTGAGAAATTCCCCCCGCAGTACCCCGGGGGGCCCCAACGTGCCTACCATCAACTCTCGAAACAAGAACAAGCCGATTTGGAGAAAAAACGTCTCACTGTTTATTGTCGCAAAGTTTATAAAAAAGCAAAAGTCACTAAAATCGAAGAACGGACTACTACGATTTGTCAGAAGGAGAATTCGTTTTATGTGGATACAGTTCGGGCGTTTCGTGATCGCAGGTTTTTGATTGGTTGTCTTGTTTCGTTTGCTTTGATTTGATTGGTTTAGGTATGAGTATAAGGGTTTGTCGAAAAAGGCAAAGCAGGCCGTGGCTGAGGCTATCAAAGGTGGCGATGCGGCCGAAATCAAGTCGGCCAAGAATAGGGAAGTGCTCTATGATTCGCTCCAATTGGCCCACAAGTGTATTTTGAATTCGTTCTATGGCTACGTGATGCGAAGAGGGTTTGTATTTTTAAATTAAGTTGGCAACAATGTATTATGAAAAATAATTAGTAAATTGTTGTTAAGTAGCCATGAAATTTAGAGTTGGCAACAGTGACTGTTACGGCACCTGACAACCAGATATGCAGTGTTGTCAACTCAAAGAAATCAAATTCACCAGATTTTAGTTGCAAAAGTTGCACCTATTTCCACCAGATTACAATTTAAATTTTTCTTTAAATCTAAAAAAAATGGAGTTTTCAGCTTAAAAATCTGCTTAAATTTTGGAAAAGGACAAAAATTAAATTATTTTCGGCCTAATTCTGTGATTTTTCAGCTTGTTTTTATGAAAATTTCACGAAATAATTGCGTTTCTAGCTGAAAAACGCCTCAAAAATGCAAAAGTAATATAATTTTTGATTTAATTCGTTGATTTTTTGGTCTATTTTATCGAAAACTTGCGAAAAATCTGGTGTTTTAGTACAAAAACGCGCTTAAAAGCATTTTTAATCAAAATTTGTGGTTTTTCAACTTATTTTTGACTTAATTTTGTTTAAAAAATTAGCTAAATCGAGTGGAACAAACAAAATAATATCAATTTCGGTTTTATTTTGTAATTTTTAGGTCACTTAAATACAATTTTAAAAAATATTACTATTTTTAACCAATTTTTTGAGAAAATTTTGCTAAATAATTAAGTTCCTGTTTACAAAACATGGAAAATGCCCGAAAAATTAGCAAAAATAAGTGTATTAAATTGAATTTTGTGGTTTTTTAGTTTATTTTTGACTTAATTTTACTCAAAAATGAGCTAAATAGAGTGAAACAAACAAAATAATATCAATTTCGATTGAATATTGTAATTTTTGGCGGTTTAACAAATTTTTTAAAAAAATTGAACTATTTTTAACCAATTTGGCGTCTTTTCGATTTTTTTTTTTTGGTAAAATTTCTCGAAATAATTAAGTTTCTGTTTAAAAAAAACATGGAAAATGCTCATTATTATTTATGTATTAAACCGAAATTTTGTGTTTTTTTTAGCTTATTTTTGA